TTTGTAGAGGTGAGCCTATGGAGCTGACTATAGGTCTGAGTGGGGTTCCTTCTTTGTGTATCTTGGGGAGACCATAGAGTTTGGGGCATCTGGATGATTTTTCTCTGGGAATATATATATATTCTGAGGTTTTCGCGGGTATTTGTATGTAGGTCTTTGGTTGTTCGGGTTTTCTCCCACGTAAAATTGGAAGTGTCTTGGCGACGTTTCGACGAAGTCCCATTCGTCATCTTCAGGCTGGTGCTTTCAGCTTCATGCTTTGAGCAGCAAGTGAGTTGCTGCTCACAGTTGCACAGTTGCTGTTTTCTGAGGTTTTCGCAGCTCAAAGCACGAAGCTGAAAGCACCAGCCTGAAGATGACGAATGGGACTTCGTCGAAACGTCGCCAAGACACTTCCAATTTTACGTGGAGAAAAAAACCCGAACAACCAAAGACCTACATATATATATGTGCTTTGAGCTGCGAAAACCTCAGAAAACAAATATATATATATATATATATATATATATATATATATATATATATATATTTCACACATAGACTTCTGTTAATTCAGATCATACAGTATGCTATATTTGTGTAACAATAAAAGATGATTTTTGTAATTATACTTGATTTGGTCCATTATGTTGTCCCTATTATTTTTCTCCACTAAATCAAAAATAATATAAATATTTCAAATTAGGATAATTGTTTTACAGGTAGTCATACTTGGCTATTTCCAAAGGGCAATCCTAGTAACATCAAAGTGTACTAAAGCCTTATTTTCTCCTTCATGTACATATAAATCACTGGAAAAGACCACCAATGTAAAAGCAGTTTTCATCAACTACTGCCTTTGCTTTTCATCTTATTAGGTTAGACATCATCTGCAGTGATATCAGGACACAGAATGAGATCTGTTCACGTAACTTTCTATCAGATTATTACAATGCACTTTTCATGGGATATGCAGAAAATTCAGTTACTTCAAAACAGATCTTAGATTACCAGAGGGTCAGTACAGTCAAGTGACACCTCCAGTAAATAAATCTGGGCAAACAGCTTCAAGGGAACTCAATTTACAGTGGGGCCCACATGAAGTATGACCTTTGTTGGAACCCATGCTTTGGTGATTTGGTGCCAGACTAAAGCATTTATCTTCTCACAGGCATTTGCACAGTTTAGTTTTGGATTTAACTATCTGTTTTCATCAGGACGGTGGCATTTAGATTTTTCATATTTTTATTTATTTTTTCCAATGCTACAAATACTGTATATCAGTTGTTAATGCTTTACTATTTTATTACGCTTGAATGTAATAAAACTTTGGCTAAAGATTAAAAAATAGCAAATATCTGTAGAATAGCCATAAAGCATAATAGCAAATGAAACCCTTTCCTATAGCTTCCCGCTTGGGAGTCCACTCACTCCTAGTGCTACAGGTATTCCTCGACTTATGACTGGTTGCTTGGCAACTTTTCGAAATTACATCCAAAGGCACCTATTAACCTGGTTCCAAAGTTCTGATGGCTGTGTCCTCCCAATCATATGAATGCATACCAGATGTTCCTCAACCAGCCACATTTACTGCTATTTGCAGTATCACACAGCCACATGATTCTTTATACGTTTTTGCCTGTAAAACTATATTTACTTCTAGTTTTCAGCAAAAACGGCCCATAGCAAACAATAAGTTTGCTTAATCAATGCAACATTTGCTTTACAACCACCAGAAAAAGAAAATATCGGTCCAGTCACATGGTGGCATCACAAAATGTAATGGCCGGCTCCATTATGGTTGTAAGAAGGACTGCCTGTATTCACTTCTTAAATCGCCTAAATATTACATGTACAGGTGAACAACCTATGTCTGGACATGCATGTGCTGCAAAGAATTTGGTTCATAAAACTGTTCACAGTTGTCCTTTTTTGCCAGCTATCAATGGCAAGATACTAAGAAATCTGACAGCAACTAACAGTCAGTTGATTATCCACTGCATAGGCCATGGGGTGGCTAAGAAAAAAAGGGGAAAGAGATGGTATTTGAAAGGGGAATATGAAATATGTATGTACTTGTAGTTTCCAACTTGTGCATCTCTGTGGCTTTCAGGACTGAAAATATTATCCACTTTTGCCATCGTCACTGAATTTGCAACCTCAATCTATAGGGTGTACTTAATTTTAATTGCTATGTTTATTTCTGCGATATTAATAAGACAGCAACATTAAATACATTTTATTATCCAACAGTTGGGTATAAGTGTCAGAAAATTATTGTCAAAACCTAAACAAGTATTATTTTGCTTTATATAGAAAGTGTGTGCACAGGAACTTTCTGACTGTGGCAAGTTTAAAAGAGAAAATAAAATATTCTAATCAACATGCGGAAGGACAATTTGAGGAAACAGTTGCCTTTGAAATATACTAAAAGGGCAGCAGTGCCAAAGTGAGAATGCCATGGTGCTGCTTATTTATGAATGATTGATTACAATTAGGAGAATGTTAATGTCATAGCATTGTTTAAAAAAAGGGAGGGGAGGAGGAAATGAAAATAAAAGAAACATTTAAAGAGATTGAAAACAGCACTGAGTGCTCTTCTAAAGGTAATAAAATAAACAAGCTGTACTAATTTTATATTTATATTGGGGCCTCAAGACAGGTGGCAGACTAGGTCTTCACGGTCTTTCGGAAAGCCAGGAAATGGATGTGGACCTCACCTTGAGGGGCATGATGTTTCAGAGGGCTGGAGCCGTAGCAGATAAAGTTCTTCTCTTGGATCTGCCAGCCAGTCTTCCTTGACTGATGGGATCAGTAGCATGCCCCTTCTGCTGGAGCAGGTAGGGTGCGCTAATCCCCTCAGGGTGAGATAGTTCCTCAGATAACCTGGACTTATGTCATGAAGGGCTTTAAAGATGATAACCAACACCTTAAATTGGAAACAAACTGACAACCAGTGCAGCTCACAGAATAACAGTGTAGCATGGGCCACCCTAGGGTAGCACATTGCAATAGAGGTAGTCCTTGACTTATAACAGTTCAGTGACTGTTCGAAGTTTATAACGGCACTGAAGAAAGCGACTAATGACCATTTTTCACACAACTGTTGTAGCATCCCCATGGTCACGTGATCAAAATTCAAACGCTTGGCAATTGACTATATTTATGATGGTCACAGTGTCCTGGGGTCATGGGATCACCTTTTGCGACTGGTTGACAAGCAAAGTCAATGGGGAAGCCAGATTCACTTAACAATCATGTTACTAACTTAACAACTTCAGCAATTCATTTAACAATTCTGGCAAGAAAGCTCACAAAATGGAGCAAAGTTCACTTAACAATTGTTTCTTAGCAACAGAAATTTTGGGGTCAATTGTGTTTGTAAAATCGAGGATTACTTACATTCCAAACATAAGATAACCAGGGCTTGAGTACTGAGCACAGGGACTCCCAATCCAGGAAAGGGTGCAACTGGTGCACAACATGAAGTTGCACAAAGGCTCTCCTAGCCACAATTGCCGCCTCTCTGATTAGGAGTCGCAAGTCCAGAAGAAGCCCTGAATTGTGTACCAGGTCTATCTGGGGGCAGTGCAACCCGATCCAAAACCAAATGTTAAAGTCCAGATCTCGAACTCCACATATCCAAAGTCCCTTAGTTTTACCAGGATTCAGCCAAAGTTAAATAGCAGAACAGAAATGCATGGAACAGCATTTCTCCTGAAACATGTGCCTGCTTTTTGAAAGACGTTAAAAATTTGGGTCTTTTAATCCAGCATTGAGTTGAAAGTGATATTTCCCTGGCACATATTTTTGTAAGCTGTTTTGGTTACTTTTATACTTTAGCCTATTGTGTGATCTTTGCTGATTTACTACTGTTTATTGATCATGCACACTGGCTTGAGTTATGTGCCAGCAGAGTGGGCTTTATAAGTGATTAAACAAATAGGATGGCCCATGCCTACCTGGGGTACAGTACCTATTTTGGTAAAATAGTTCTGCTTACATTTATGCATTTTTTTTTGTTTTAGGTACAGAGTCTGATTCAAATGGGAGACTTTCTCAATCTAAATTAGAAATAAAGAAATGGGGTGTATTTAAGAAAGCAACTGGCAACCACTGTATCTCCTTCCACACAGGATGATATGGCATGTCTATAGTGTCACTTAATGTAATGGAGCCTGACCATTAGTTACAAGCAGAGACAGCCATTAAGCAAGACAGCCTCTACAACTTCCTGATGCAGTTGTAAAATAAAAGTTCTAGTATTGAGCGCATGGTGCCTTAGGGCCAGGGGAGGCCCTGGGAGGCCACGTACAGAGATACCCCGGGCTCCGGTACTCAGCCCTCTGGGTTCCTCACAATCCATGGGCCTGTTTCTTCACATTTAACTGTATTGTTTGCTTATGGAACAAATATGCAATGTTTTAACTCAGGGGCCTTCAAACTTGGCCCATTTTAACTGGTCTGCAAAGACTGCAGAAATGCAGATTGGAAGAGTGCTATAAGAAGGTAGCAAGAACAAATGCAAAAACTACATTACTATTTGCTTAAGCACTCTGAGAAGGTCCTTGGCAGAATTTTTATTGAAAAAAAAACGCAGTGAAATTTGGAAATGGGGGGGGGGACTTCATGCTGAGCTAGGGTACACAGATCAGTTTTGCTTTTTAGCAAGCCATTGGGAAATATATGCATACAGGAAAAAAAAAAGTTTATGTGCATTTGCTGATTTAATCAATAGGCTTGCATCGTGGAATTTTTGCATGAATAGAAAGACTGCTGAATTATATTGCTGAATTGCTCTATTATGTTGCCGAATATAAAGAAACATACAAAGCATATATTCCACGATATCATTCGTGTTTTTCGTCACCACTAAATGAATTTAATATCAAACTAAAGCATTTTAAAGTTTTAATTACATTTTAAAGAATAAATAACAATGTTTTATTAATTCTATACTGAAACTAAAAAATAAAATCGGTGAAAATCCCGATGATTATTGATCTTACTTATATCAGCACCACAGCCCCCCGAAAGAGTCGAGGCACAAAACAATAAAAGTTACACCTCCATTTAAAAATGAAGGAAAATGCTATTCTTTTCATTGGGAAATATTTCGATCCTCCTTTTCCATCCGGTGGGAAGCTTTTTAAGGTAACAGGAAAAGTTGACTTGTAACTTGGCAATACGTAGGGCACATAAGGTTTGGGCCATTCTTTAGTTCTCAGGAAAGGCGAAGAGGTAAAAGCCAGGGCTGGGGAGACGCAACCCTGCCCGAGGGGCAAGAGGATCGCTTTGCATTCATTGGCTGGAGACTCGATCGACTAAAACCGGCCACTGGAGAGTTGGACTGCAAGCGCTAGGAAAGTCATGTGCCGCTCCAGGTCCCTTTGCAAGGCTGGGCCCGCTCAACTGGCTGGCCGCGTTAAAGTGGCGGTCACGTGACCACGCTGGAGACGGGCTCGGCGTGCGTGCTCTCGGACAGGCAACATGGCGGCTACCGCGGCAGCCCGGGTAGCTCTGAGGCTCTTTCACCATCGAGGGGGTTCAGCCCCGACCTCGTCCTCCCTAGGCCGCGTGAGCCCGAGGAGCTGTTCAGGCCTGCTCGCGCCCGTGACAAGATACAGTTCCGAAGCCAAAGGCCTGGAGGAGGAGGAACTGCTGGTTCGATATTTGGATGAAGAGCATAAAGGTAACGGCAATAGCCGGCGTGGAAGGCGCGGGGTCTTTTTTTTTTTTTTTTTAACCTGTCGGCTGCAACCTGAAGCTCCATTTCCCAGCTCCAAAACCATCTGTCCCTCCCTCCCCCCCCCCGTTCTGCCCAGCAGGTAAGGCTTGGATGTCCCTTTTTGCTTGTCAGCAGCGGAGACTCGTCTATGAGACGCATCCACCTCCAATTATCTGTCCGAAATGATGAAGCTGCCTGACCCTTTAAATTCTCCCGTTGGTGGGGGCGGGTCGTGCAAGCTGTCTGAATCATAAGGCGCATGCGCAGCTCGTTCTCGACTTCCCTGATGTTGCCTGGTTAGGGAAAGCCTTTAAGCTAGTTTAGGAGACTGGGGAATATGGAGGAAATAACGTAGGTTGTAAGATCAGGTTGTCCAATGTGCAGACTTTGAAAGCCCTGTGTTTTATTTGAAGGTGGCTTGTCTTCTAGCTGTTCATATTTCTAAAAAAAATACAGTCTATATTCTTATTTGAATTCTTATGTTCTGTGTCTTTGAGAATGCAGAACTTCCTGGAAAAATATACACAGATCAAATCATCTTGAAATCTTAAATTTATAAATATATCAAAAATTTCTGCCCAGTCCTTAAATAAAAGCACAATAAAGTCTATGCATTTTAAATTGAGCTGATTGGACGCACTGAATACAGATATACTGATTTCTGTAGTGATGTACAGATTATCTTTTGAATATCATACTTTTGAATTTTACAATATATTCAGAGATCAATATAAATGATTATTTTAGATAAGTGAAATGAGAAAAGTGCACTTTGAGAGGAAAAGCATTAAAATCATGCTTTGTGAGAAAATTCATCTCTAATTTTATGTTTGCTTTAATTCACTTTTCCTGCCTTTTTAATAAACGTGGAAAATTGGGACATGAAACACATCTATTTTGATTTCTAGTGTATTATTTATAGTGAATAGAGAGTTCTAGATTAAATTTTCAACTAGTCATGCAGCTGTTGAGAGGCTGAGGCGCATAAAGTATGATTTTCTTCTAAGGGATGTTGACATTTGAGTATAATTTATTTCATAAGTATATAACAAATCTGCAATTGTATTTTTGTCTGAAGAAAGTAGGCACAACTATTGGTTTGTAATTTTGCTTTTTTGCCATTTCGTACTGTTTGTCTTTTACATTTTTGGAAAGTAGTTTTATAGTACAGGTAGTCCTTGACTTACAAGAGTTCATTTAGCGACCGTTTGAAGTTATAATAGCACTGCAAAAGTGACCTGTGACTGGCTTTCACACTTAACGACCGTTTCAGCATTCCCAATTCCCCATGGTCATGTGATCAAAGTTCTGAGTCTTGGCAACTGGCAACTCATATTTATGATGTTTGCAGTGTCCCAGGGTCATGTGATCATCTTTTGTAACCTTCTGACAAGAAAAATCAATGGGAACGCCAGATTCACTTAACAACTGTTTTACTAACTTAACCCTTATAGTGATTCATTTAATAACTGTGGCAAGAAGTTCACTTAACTGTGGGGCAAAACTCATTTAACAAATATCTCACTTAGCAACATAAATTTTGGGCTCAATTGTAGTCGTAAGTCAAGGACTACTTGTATAGTGATTGATCATAAGTATTTACTCCTTTAGAACTTATATTTTATTATTCTGTTATTTCTAATTTATTTTACTTTCCTTGTTTTGATATTTTTTTTACAGTTTTTATATAATTCGGTTACATGATCATATGCTGTTTTAGTCAGAGACATAATAATGTTCTGTTCTGAACTATTTAGACCAGTGGTTCTCAACCTTTCTAATGCCGCGACCCCATAATACAGTTCCCCATGTTGTGGTGACCCCCAACCACTTATACATCACCGGGTGCCAGGGGCATGACCAAAGAAAAAGGGAAAAAATGGCGGACAGCCTTGTTTGGCGACCCCGTGAAATGGTCGTTCGACCCCAAATGGGGTCCCGACCCACAGGTTGAGAACCACTGATTTAGACAGTCACTATATGACACATATATGCCTATTATATTTTATTTATTTGGTAAATAAATAGCTGCTCAACTCACATACATGACTGATATACAAGTTAAAAACAAGACACAGTAGAACCGCCCCCATAAACAACAACAAAACTTATTTTAAAACTGTAGAAGCAATAAAAATTATATAAAACCAAACCATAATCTGCACTGGTCCCCTAATCCATTTTATTATGATTTGGGCATGTAAAAAAGAAATAAAACTAAAGTCTCAGTCTATCGTTACTTGACAATGGTTATGCTGCAAATATGATATGATCCCAAAGGGAAAAATGGAGCAATAATGTAGGTATAAATAAATAAATTAAATAATAATAATAATAAATTAAATAAACAATATAAGTATAAATTAAGATTCAATATGTTAAAACAAATTTTGTGTTTTAGAGGGAACCTGTTTTCTCTAGTTTCAGAAGGAGAAGGTACATTCTCAAATATACGTTTGCGATAATAAACTGTGCATTAAAAAAAGGTGTGAAAATTTCCTACTTTCTGTTGATCGGACTTTGGAAAATATAAAAAGCAAACTAATTTAACAAGTAAACAGATTTGTTCCAAAATATTCCTGAAACTGAACTTAATTGACATTTGTCTGTCAGTTTCAAGTAAAACAATTACACAGTAGTATGAAGTTAACAGTTTTGCTTTTGAAATCCTAACCCTTAACTTTGTAGAAAGAATAATGTTTTAAAAGAGAAAGATGTCAGTTGTTTGGAGATAGACATTCTTCTTTCTCCCCATCAGTTATTGACAGTGAATGCTCTATGCCTAATTGCTATATAGGGGCACTTGGTAGGACATTTTGGGAGGAAAGGCAAATCCACTATAACACAATTCTCAAAAAACTATATGATATAGACTCCCATTCATTAGATGTATCAGTTACACACATCTGCCCTTTAACATTACTCCTTCTTACAATTCTCCTCTGTAAGAATGTCCATTTTAGTAACATAATAAATGGAGCTCTGGTAGTGTAGTGACTAAAATGCAGTATTGCAGGCTAACTCTGCCTACACTCTGCAGTTTGATCCTGACTGGGTCAAGGTTGACTCATCCTTCCAAGGTCATTAAAATGAGGCTGACTCTGTAAACCCCTCACAGAGTGCTGTAAAGCACTATGAAGTACTATATAAGTCTATGTGCAAATGGTATTGCTAATTCTGCCCACAGCCAGACGCTCGATCCTGACTAGCTTAGACTCGACCTTCCATCCTTCCAAGATGACCAAAATAAGGATCCAGATTATTGGGGGCAGTATGCTGATATTTGTAAACCACTCAAAGAGTACTGTAAAGCACTATGGAGTGGTATATAAATCCAAGTATTATTGCTATAATGGAATTGTGTTTATGTAAAGCTAGGTCATAGAAGTATTTTTTAATGTTATCAGCACTGTTACAGCCTTTATTATAAATACTATAATATGCAAGTAGTCCTCGAGTTAAGAATGTAATGGAACCTGCCCATTCCATTTATAACTTGAGAATTCGTAGGAGTAAATCTCGTACCTTGAACATGATTCACTCCCAGCTTTTGCCCATGCATCCGCTAATTTAATGGGGTAATGCACGGCTTGTTAAATTAAGATGAGTATCTCAGGGTGAGGAAGGCCATGGGGGGGCCTAGTGATGGAATAGGCCACCGGCTTCAGACCACCCAAGTCCACCCACTGAGATACTTCATGCTTCTGCCCCTGGGGTCCAATAGTTGCTCTGCCCCCCTAATCCTGCCACACTGGGTCATTTACCTTGTGAAGGTCTGTCTCCTCTCCAGCCTCACTGTTTCTTTCTCTGCTCCCAGCAAGAGCAGAGGGAGGCCTCGGAGGTCCAGAACAGGCCTCTGGAAGCACATGGCTGAAGCCCACAGACTCCATTCTGGGCCTTCAAAAGCACGGGGTTACCACCCATGGCCTCCAGAGGCCCGCGGAAGCACCCCGGGCCTCCTTTCTGGGTGGCAGTAGCCTGGAAAAGGCCTTTCTGATACCCGGATCAGGTCTCCGGAGGCACGCAGAAGCCTCCCCCAGTTTCTGTTCCATTCTCTGTTGCAGAGAACAGAGGCCTAAACTACTGTGAAATCACATGAGATCAGTAGCATGAGATCTCGCACCACTCATCTTGCGTGATCTTGCATTACTTTAGTCCTCCATTCTTTGCAAAAACACCGAAGGCCTGAGCAGCCAAGAAAGCGAAGAATCTCTTGATCTTCACAAGGTGAGTATCCATAGGCCTAGTGCCTAGGGAGACCCGGGGTGGCAGGGGGGAGGGAGGGAATAGCCAGAATGAATGTTGCAGGGCCACTGCGGTTGTTTGTAAGGGTGAACGATTGCTGTGATACGGCAACATTCGTAAATTTGGGACTTTTTTATAAACACTAGGGGGCACTTATTGCATAACTTAGAATGTTCGCTAAGGGAATGCTCGTAACCTGGGGATTACCTGAACTGTATATGTTTTATAATACCCCAAATTATTTAGTATAGCAGTTTTTCAAATAAGAAATATATTAAAATGTATTTATCAACTAAGTATTAATTGTGTATTTTCATGCTAGTAATTATGATAGCTATTTTAGGAGGTAAGAGATATAGGTGCATATCACCTAAATTTTCAGATAAATGCCCAGCAATAATTATTCATATAAATTCCTGCATTTTCCCCAAAAGACAAAGAAGTCTTAAAAATTAGCATTAAATGTTTTGGAATGCTTAACTGAGTCTTGTAATTTTTTTTGTCCTGCATACAGGAATTGTTGTACTTGGAATAAACAGAGCACATGCAAAAAATGCACTTAATAAAAATCTTATTAAAATGGTAAGTAAATGAACCTTTAGCTAATTATTAATGTGGAAAACTGAAAATTAGTGTTGATACTGTCCACACCTTTTCTCTGTAGATATCAAAAGTTATGGACGCTTTGAAAACAGACAAAAAAGTACGGACAGTTATATTCCGAAGTGAAGTTCCTGGGGTATTTTGTGCTGGTATGCAAACTTAATTTTTATTATCCATCTGGAAATCCATAATCTATTATACTCAGCAGAAATAACTCAGAATCCTTTATTTGGGAACTAAATATAGATAAGTTCTATGTCTAAGTAACATTTGCTATGCCCTTTAAAAAAAAGTTCCATAATATATAATGAGATATGTAGACTGGAGAGCTTTCCTGACTTTGCGTGTGTGTGTATGTGTGTCTAAATATTTATATCTGTGCAGGTAGTCCTCAGATGATGACCATTTGTTCAGCAATTACAAGTTACAACAATGCTGAATGATGAGGACTTAAGATATATCCTTGGAATTACAGCTCTTGCCATATCCCTGAAGTCATGTGATCCATATGCTTGCACCTGGCTTATGATTATGACCTCTCAATGAGCCACAGTCACACGATCGCAATGTCCAACGTTGCCCAATTGCTTCTTAAAAGCAAAGTCAGTGGGGAAGCTGGCAGGAAATTGCAATCATGTGACGTCCTGACTTAATGATCTAATGCTTTATATAGCCTCTCATCACATTCATGATTCTGGATGGCTTATAGTTAAAACATAAACATTTAAAATTGCCATTCTTTTAAGGACAGCAAATATTAGTTCCATAATTGTCATTGTTAAATGAGGCAATCATGTGACTTTACATTTTATGACAGTGATAGAGGTCCCAATCTCAATTGCCATCGTGATCCATGGACTACCTTTGTCTGTTTTGAACTGAAGCCTCTAAATATTCCTCAGTAGGAATTAATTAGGGCCTGAGCATAGAAACCTCCTGATCTAGGATTGGGCGTGACTGGAACACAAATGAAAGCTGCACAAAGACTCTTCTAGCTACAACACTCACCTCTTCAAGCAACAGTTGTGACTCCAGAAGATATGCCCCTCCCCCAATTGCATATCTGGTCTGCCTGGGGAAGTGCAACCACGTATAACTTAGAGATCAGTAGCTCTGATAGACCATGACAATCCAATATAGTATCTGAAATTAAGCATTGAAACAAGATCTGTCAAAAAGGACAAATATGGTGAATTTTGTATCTGTTTGCATTGTCTAAAATTAGAAATGTAGTGTATATTATAGCTTTCTAAAATTTGTTAGTTAAGGGTGTTTAATCTGACTCTTCAGCTGCATCTTTGGAGCATCTTATGATCAACAAGAAGCAACGCTTTCAAACCAGTAAAGAAACTTAGGCAACCTGTGACTCACTGGATCACTGTTTCAAAGATATTTCCTTACTTAAACAAAGATATGGAATGACCATGGACAGCAAAAACTCAGTGGGAGGAGGAGTGATTTTGAGTTTCTGTCAGCTTCCCCATTGAATTTCCTTGTAGGAAGCTGGCAATGAGCACTGGAAATCTCTTCTTCCCTTCCCCGTCCTGCCCTGCCCTTCCTCACAAAGAATTGTGTGATTGGCTAGGAAGCTATTAGGGAAAGTTGGAAATGAAGATCACATGACTATAGCAGTGTGGTTGCATTACTGAAACAGTAGTAACTGGCAGGCTGAAGCATCCACTATTTCCCAAAATTTTCATTCCTTTGGGGAATAATGGGTGCCCGCATTCTGCAAGTTAGTCATTTTAGATATCTTGGTTTTAAGATTACAGACAGAAGATTTGTAATAGTATATGGGTGCAATAAAAAGCTACAGAAGAGGGTTAGCCTCCTCTCTTACTAATCATTTTACAGTGTTAGATTTATATTGAAGAAAGATTTTTGAAGTAGAGTATCTAGTTTATAGCAGCCAGTAAAATATTACTGTTTACTCCTCATATTGGGAGTGAAGCAAAACTATATGTTTAAATATCTACTCAGTTCATTATTTTATGTTGCTACCATGGTATGACATCTTCTCTCACTTTTAAAAGTTTCACAATGTAACTTGAGCCTTATGCTCAGATAATTCAGTATTGTTTAAAGTACAGTGCTACAGTAATTGCATATTCATGCAGCTCACCGTTATTAATTTTTATCCATTTTAGCTAAATAGCAATTGTAAAGACAGTACATATTTTATTGTAAGTGTAACTAGTGGCCAAGACAATAGTTTTGAAGAGACTCTTATTTCTGTTGCCATAATTTTAGCAGAGATCTGCTGAGTTGTGTAGGCTGAGAATAACCAGAACATATCATAATGTTATTTTCTCTTCTGATGCCACTGACTTAGTGCTTTGTCAGTTGTTTAAATTTTCTGATACTTAAGTTTGATTGCTAGATATCTAGATAAGATTATAAAAAAGGTATATACTCTGCTATTGTTGCTATAATTAGAGGCAGAAATTACATAGCTGGAGAACGAAGAACCTTCACCCTCATTCAAACATTCTTCCATCTAATAATTCTTCTAATTATAATCTTTCCATAATTGCACTCCTCAATTTCAAATCCAATGAAAATAAGTTAAATGAAGACTAATATAGTAATCATTGAAACAGACAAGATAAATTGAATATTTGTAATTTCTTCAATTAGGGGAGCATATAAATTATATATCAGTAGAAAATACTGTAGTAATTCTTATGTCCTACTCCAAATGCCTGATATAAATCTGGTATCTCTGAAAATGTACAAGTGGCACTTTTTAATCTAGCTCTGACTCAGATTTTTTTTTTTCTTGTTATTTTTTTAAAAATCTTGGCAGAAGTAAAAATGACTTGCATCATTAATTTTTGTCATCTTGGACTTTTAATATATGTGAGTGGGATAATTATATGAAATGTTTCAGTCACATTTAATTATGGGTACACATGCATGTGGGCTACAATCATAAAACGTTTTATATAGCTTTTACATAGAAAACTTGTTTTTAATTTAAATTTAAATAACTGGCTGTAGAATTAGTAAATTTCTTCTCTTGTTACATTGACTGTATAAAGCAAAGCCTCTTAAGCACTCTAATGGAGTGCTTTGTCTCAGTAGAGATTTAAGCATGAAATTTGAAACAATTATTTTCTGGTGTTGGATAAAATGTATGACTTTTATAAATCATTTGTTGGATTGTTTAAGAAGACATTGTGTTCCTTATTTTCATTTTCCTTATTTTGTTTGTAAAATTATTCATTCTGTCATAACATTCAGAAGATAGGGTCCTGTTTACTGTATAACACCAAGAATTAGAGCTAGTTTTCAGAGTTATCATGAATAAACAAATCCCTTTTTACATGAACAGTTGCACCCATCTGGAAATTACCTTGATTTGTTTTATTAACTTTCTCCTTTTCTTGTTTTGTCCTTTATGAAATAAGGACTGGTTTATTTCCATGTTTTCTATGAAATATACATATAAAACATGCAATGAAGTACATTTTAAATACTTTGTAAATTGTATATTTTTTTTTACTTAATATCCAAATATTTATAAAGAGAGGTGACTGAATTTCCACATCTTGTCAAGAAATAGATTTACATTTACATTTGTTCCATGTTGCTTTTCCTGAAAGTATGAATGGATTATGCCATTTTGGTTTATTTCACTATATTGCCTAGCTCCCAGCATTCCTAGCCAGCGTGACCATTCATGAAAATGCTGAAGTTCAAGCATTTGAAGGATATTTAGGTTGGGGAAGATGGGTTGATTCAAACAGAAACTATGATGGTATTTAAATATGACCAGAAAATGTCATTTGCAGGTGCTGACCTTAAAGAAAGAGCTAAAATGCATGCTAGTGAAGTAAGCTCTTTTGTCTCAAAGGCAAGATCCACTATTAATGAAGTGGGTAAGTACAAGTCTCATTGAAATATTGCTGATAGCTAATCAATCATGAATAGTAGTAGTAAGTAAATTCTCAGTAATTAAAAAAGCCTGTTTAAATTTTCATAACTCTGTAATAAATTAAGACTAATTATCATCAGCATGACAAAGATATATATCATATAATTGTCACTAAATAATATTTTCTTATACCTTTCTCTGCTGTTAGATACACTAATATTGAATTGAGTGTAAATAACCCCTCTAAATATATAGACAGTTAAATGAATTTATTTCAGTTGGCAAGTAAGTTAAACTCTCAAACAATTTCAGTAGGGTCAAAACAGAAAAAAAAATCAAAATGTTTCCTACAAAACTTTCATCAGAAACTTCAACTGACTGTTAAAACAAATGTGTTCATTTCTGTTGATGATGAATTAAACAGTGGATTGAGGGATGTAGTCAGAAGGAGTAGAGTCCAAGGTATTTCTTTTTTCAACAGTATCAGAATATCATACTAGTAAATAATTCAGAGAGCTTACAATTATTTTATAATTACATCTCAAACTGTCAGTTCTGTTTTTTATTTATTTTATTTATTTGTTAAATTTATTTGCCGTGGGGCTACTCTAGGCAGCTTACAGTAATAAAAAGAGTGTAAACAGAAGTAAAATAATAGAACAGAAAAATAAACAATGAAAAAGGAAACAGTGAGAATATTACATCAATGTGATAAGCAAAAAGATGGATGGGTAGAGACCAGAGGGCAGGGGAGGATGGAGGCTGCCATCAATCTAGCAGCCACCTCTGTTCATGGATCTATCACTGAACATGCCAGTTGCTAGATATTCTTTTGTAGAGCGGGAAATTAAATTAGAAGGAGTGTTTCCAAAAATTCATAAAACGTTTTTGATAATGTGGTTAAGAATTAATATTGTAGGTATGCTTGAACATGTATCTGTTATTACCTAAAATTGGAATGGCTATTTTTTAAGTATTTCTTGTCCTTCAGCAATAATTTCCTGTTAGGATTTAGTCAGTTAACTTATATTGAAACAAGCAACTAATTAAAATTTACATATTCACTGGTAGTATAGGTGTGTGAATGCTGATGACAAGCAAGGAATAGGGTTGTTATTTTCATGCCCTGCTTATGTGTTTTCCAGATCTCTATTAATAATTTTCATCTGATCCTCTTCATTTTATAGCTCCTACTTGAACAAAAGGTGGAGTCTATATTCTTGGCTATTTGGAAATGGAGTGAAATATAAATTAAATAATAAAGTAAATAACTTCCATATGTGTTAGTTTCATGGATAGAACAACATCTTTTGATTTGCATATATACAAATCAGGAATTGCTGTTTTATCATAATTGCTCCTTATTACAATTAATTCTGGTATCTTGTTCTTTTTTATTGCTGTTAATATCCCAAATATCTCTGTAGTCAGAATTTAGTTTGCAATTAATATTGGGAAGAAACAAAAAATGCTATTATATAGAGTTGCCATAAATTAATAAATAGAAATTTTGTAAAATTAATTTTATCTTAGAAATATTGACAACTGGCTGAAATTATTTTTGTTAATTTTTCCTTTTAGCTAATCTTCCAGTACCAACTATAGCTGCAATAGATGGCATTGCATTAGGTGGTGGCCTAGAATTGGCTCTAGCCTGTGATATAAGAGTGGCAGGTAAGATTTAGTCCTATTTTTAAAATTAAAGCATTCTCTAAACTTTTTTAGTTCAAGGGTAGAGAAAATGATTTCTTAACGTTATTTTAATGCAATTTTGAACATCTCAACTGTGATAATTGTTATAATACTTACATTAGTGTTAATATGTATCTTTTAATTTTTGGATCCAGGGTAAATGTATTTAACTAATATAACAATTTTGTAATTTGTGTCATGAAAGGGTTGTTGCTAATAAGTATAAAAGAGGATAAAGAAAAAGGAACAAGTTAATGAAGTGTTCACATTAAGACAATCATTTCCACTTTACAGGAGTAGGTGAAGGATTTTTAGCGTGTCAGCTTTCTTGGAAACATTCTCCAGCTAGGAATATTGGATGGAGGGCCAGAGATGGTTGCCCAAAACTGGAATGGATTCTTCACCTCTTACTTGTCTCATTCAGATACAGAAAATTACAACATTAATAAAACCAATGTTGAAAAAAGATAATCAACCTTTGTACAGCAGTAGATCAGGCTTTTCAAGGCTTTTACTCATAGAACCAAACACTAAATGTAGGCAAGATAATTGTATGATGGATATTGTTCTGTAGCCTTGCTCTAAATGAGGAAGTTCACAGGAAGGGAGGATGAATTAAAACTTCCTGTAACTTCATGCTCCCTTTAGAAGCAGTGTTTTTAATATATTAATACATTTATACCTTGCTTTTTTCTTTGCATAAGCAACTATACTGGTTTACAGCAATTAAAAAATAAAAATATAAACAATAACTTCAAAAGCAATAGCAATATATCCCAATTAAAATATTTAATCATTGTACTGTTCAGTTTACTACAATTTGCCTAGTTCAGCTGGAGATCTATGTATTGAAAAACTGATATATATAGAAGATTATTTTAAATAGCTGTATATTGTACGTAGAACAATTGCTGTACAAAGAGTTTTGTTTTCCTGGGTATGAAAACATTAGAAAATCATGACTCATACTGGCATTTTACTAAGAACAGAAATGAATCTTTGCAATGGGCACTTTACAGGTTGATTTCCTACATCCTGCATGCTTTTTCTGAAAAATGAAGGGCTACAGAGCCTACTGAGAGAAAGTTTTTTCCCATACAACCTAAGGCACAGTGGGATTTGTTTTTGGTTATTTAGTAAACCATGGCTTAGTGCTGAAGTGAAATATAGCCATTGACATTCTGCTCTTTTCAATGCTTTCACTTTTATCCAAAACTGTTACAGTGAAGTTACAGCTTATTTTACTAAGTTCCTTTTATTTTCTCTAAGTAATTTGTAGGCTTTTCAAAAACCAACTTTTTTTTTTTTTTTAGCTTCTTCTGCAAAAATGGGTTTAGTTGAAACGAAATTGGCGATCATTCCTGGTGCAGGTATGGATTTTTATTCATAATTATGTAACCGTTCTTTTTGAACTTTTTTGTTATGCTCCATCTCTTGTATGTTGTCCAGAGGCTGGTCAGTTTTGAACAACAATATTTTCATTCTGCATTCCAGGTCATGAATGTACTTAATATAGTCCTGCCTCCTATTTTTACCACAGCAATAACCCTGTGAGGTTGCTTGGGCTGAACCAAAGTGATTGATCCAAAATCATCCAATTGGTTTTTATTCCTAAGGGAGATCTAAAACTCACAGTCTCCTGGTTTCTAGGGCCAGTATATTAACCACCTCATCAAACTGAATACAGTTTTTGCATATCTATTATTTGGTAACTGTCATAATGTTGTGAGTGTCTTATCAATTTATGAGATCTAAAATGAGTAGTCATGGAGAAAGGAAAATGAAGCCAGGTTGGGCTGGTGAGGATACCTACCTACTCTTAGACTGTATGGCATTTTGCCCTCTAGTACTATTGTCGAGCAACATGCGGATATGCATGCTGCCCATTTTAGCTTGTGAAGATTTTTAGCATGAGGGAACAACATAGAAATGCACTCCTTGGTATTAGGCCTGCTACTTAGTTTTCTTCAGTGCAGCAAAAGTCCCCAATTTATTCAAAGGGGAAGGAGAAGTTGCACTTCTTTAATTTTCTTCCTTTGTAGCCCTTGACTTAAAACCACAATTGGGACCAGAATTTTCATTGCTAAGTAAGGCAGTTGGTAAGTGAGTCTTGTCTGATTTTTTTTTTGTCACAGTTGTTAAGTGAATCATTGCAATTAAGTGAATTACACAGTCCGTAAGCAAATCCAGCTTCCCCCATTGACTTGTCAGAAGCCAATGGAAAGATTGCAAAAGCTGATCACATGACCCCAGAACTGCTGCAATAGTTATAAATACACGCCAGTTGCCAAGTGCCTGAATTTTGATCATGTGACCGTAGCTATGCTGCTACGGTCATAAGTGCGAGGACTGGTCATAAGTTACGTTTTCAGTGCTGTTGTAACTTTGAACAGTCTCTAAATAAATGGTTGTAAGTTGAGGACTACCTGTAGATATAGTTGCGCTGGCCAGAAGATGCTTAGATTTGGCTGATGAACATTGAAGATCCTATTTTAAGAATATAAGAGTTAGAAGAAAGGAGAAACAGACTTATTCTATATTGTTTTGTCTTGGCTTCATGAAGAAACTATAAATATGAACTATTTCCTACTTCAGTAAATAAGGTCTGAAATGGGGACATGAAGAGAAAAAAATTCTGACTGTTTATCAACTATGCATCACTTTTCTTCATGATAGGTAGCTGAATATTTTCTCTTTCAATATTTATTATATCTGTTTATCATTTGTCTAATGTTAAATATTTCAAAGCTTCATGAATGTGTATAATGTAAAAATAGCTGGTTTGTATAGTTACAATGCTAATCTGTACCTAAGCTAACAAAAAGAGAAGGGTTTGTACACACACACAAAAAGAGAAGACTGTTTTCACCGGGATGTTTATCAGTAACTTCATGGCAAAATGTTGGAATGAGGTTGCCATTTCATTCTCTAGTAGATACTTTGTTTATGACATGTCTCTAGGGCGGTGGTTCTCAACCTTCCTAATGCCGCGACCCTTTAATACAGTTCCTAATGTTGTGGTGACCCCCAACCATAAAATTACTTTTGTTGCTACTTCATAACTGTGATTTTGCTACTGTTATGAATCGTAATGTAAATATCTGATATGCAGGGTGTATTTTCATTGTTACGAATTGAACATAATTAAAGCATAGTGATTAATCACAAAAACAAGATAGCAATGCTCGATGGAGAAGCTTCCTTGCTCAAAAATGTTGGGAGAGAGGGAAGGGGAAGGAAGGAAGATTGAAGGGGAAAGGAAGGAGATGGAGAAGGAAGGAGATTGAAGGGGAAAGGAAGGAAGGAAGGAAGGAGAAAGAGATTGAAGGGGAAGGGATGGAGATGGAAGGAAGGAAGGAAGATTGAAGGGGAAAGGAAGGAGATGGAGAAGGAAGGAGATTGAAGGGGAAAGGAAGGAAGGAAGGAAGATTGAACGGGAAAGGAAGGAGATGGAGAAGGAAGGAGATTGAAGGGGGGAGGCACTGCCAAGGACGCACAAGCAGCTCCGCACAATTGCCCAGGGAGGGGGGAGGCTCTGGCGGAGGGCCTGGTGGAGAGACAAGCAGCGGCACCTCCGCGGCCTTGGAAGTCGCGCGGAGGTGGCAGG